CGCCACACATCAAATCCTAAACCGAACCATGCAATTTAATTAAAAATCTACATGGTCCGGTCTGGGACTCGAAACCCAGCAGTCTCAGACTCATAAACTTGCCTATAAATGAGTATAAGCGCGATAGACCGCTACACCACCGTCCCGATGATTTTCTCCCCGCTATTTTCTGTTTATTATAATGCAATTCCTGTGGGTGGTTTTAGAAGAAAAACGGTTGCCCCACATTTCTGTGTTGCGGTCTTTAAGTTTTTCTTTTTCCTTTGTTTTTTCTTATACTTGTTTCACTAATTTTAAGTTTGTCTTTACGTTTAAATACCAATACCAATTTTGCCACATAATGTTACAGATTTTTTTTATATTTGAGATAGCTGCTATAACTCTACATATTGCCTGATGATGGCAAGTTACTCGAAACTAGCAGCATTTTTTATTTTTAAAAAACAAATTTTATGTTGTATTTTTTAAAGATTTTTCTTTACTTATGCCTTTTGTTTATATGCAGTAATTATAATTCAAATTTGCCCTTTTAAACAAATCTTTACTCCACAAATGCCGAAGTGGCTCAAAACTCAAAGTTAGGCAACATGATTTCATGAATTTAAAATTATATTTGACTTAAAAACTTGGATAAAAAGTATAAAAACAATGAAAGTATTTTCAATAACATTTATTTCGTTTAATTTTATTCATACAAAATAATCAGTACACAAAATAATATAAAATATTACATTTTAAAATAATATTTACAATTTATTAACAATTTTTTCATGCAATAAATGTTTTTAAACGCTGTACATGTTATAACATAGAAATATTTATAAATTTTAACATGTTTAATATGTTTATATCACGTTTATCTACATGTAGGCGGTATAAAAATATACATAATTTGGTTGTTCTTACGTTTTTAAATGTGTTACAAAACAATAAAAAAATGTGTGCTATAATTTTTTATGTTAACATTATTTAACATTAGGATAGTTCATTTTTCTTTTACCCTGATCCATAGATATTTGGAAAAAGCTATTAATTGTGAAATTTCGTTTGAAAGAATTTCAGTTAATATTTTGTTGCGTTTTGACATGATAGACAGTATTTATGAATTTAAATTTGAATATTATATCGCACTGATATGTACAGGGTGGCCATGTAAGAATAGTTTTTGGCCATGTCTAAAGTGGCGATGAAAAAACCTAATTTTAGGAATCGTAAAGGAATATCAACAAATAAAATGCTTCATTTTCCCTTTTCACAGTTTTTTTTTGCTACATTTATCACCTTAATAACAATCACAGTGACCGTACCAATTTTTTTAGGCATTCCTAGTATAAAAATTTTACAATCAACAGACATGATTTTTCCTAGTTATGTACAGTGTGGGCCAGATTTAATTTTTATATACAAAGATTTCGTAAACCAAAAGTTTCATATTTATTCGACAAAATATAAAAAAAATTATTTTCGTTTTTTAAGGTTAGTGTTATTTTAAAAGATTTGATGCTTTATGATAAAAAAAAGTTCTGTATATCCTGCCATACCAAAATTTTCACTAGATACGATTTTTCGCATTTCCAGGACTACCTTCAAATTAATTTTTTTTAAATACGTACCTGGATTTTTAACTATAATTTTTCATTGCTTTTATACAGCTATAAATATAATGATATGTTAAACTTTTTTGTATTTTGTCGCATATATCCGGAACTCGTCTAAAATCTATAACTTCTACGGGTCATTGAATTATCAATCAAAATATGAAACTTTTTCGCCATTTAATTGACATTGTATTATCTAGCAGTTCATGAGATCTCGGTATACCCAAATTAAATTCGGTCCACTCTGTATACCGGGTGACAATAACACCAGGGCCACGTTTCTCTTTTATTTACGAAGCAATTTTGAAAATTTGGGACAAATCTACATAGTTTTGAATTGATACTTTTACTTAAACAAAATGGCTGATTTCTGGTTTGAGCGAAAATTCTAATAAGTTTGATTTTTTAATGAATCACCTTGTACATTTTATAATTTTTTGAATCTACGGTTCAAATTAAACATGACAGTATTGCTAAATTATTTTTTACCAAACACATTAAAAAAAATTTAAAGTCATGGCTATAAACTAGAAAATACTGTTCTAAGGGTGTATACGTGCCAAAGATGCCTCAATGAGCGATGATCGACGTAATGTAATGGCGATGTAATAACAAATGTACTAATTTAAATGAGAGTGTACATATCACACCATCGCACCATATATCTGTATTACATCGATTGAGATTCACTTAACCATCGATTATCGATTATATATCTACATGACAGCGTTGCCTCCCAACAGCACCCACCTAATTCAACCATTAGATGTGGTAGTATTTGCCCCGTTTAAAAAAAAATGGCTTCAGATTCTAGACAAATGGCACAGTAAAACCAAATCAACTTCCTCCATTCCAATAGAATATTTTTTTATCTTCCTATATCGATTGTGGGTTGCAGTCACTGAAAATGTGTCCAATAATTTAAAATCTGGATTTAGGGCTACAGAGCTCTGTCCTTTCAATCCTCAGGAAGTTCAGAAAAGAATTCCAGACATGCAAATACAAGGCGATAATGAAAATGTCCTAAATGAAAGCTTAATTGATCTGCTTCAAGATCTGCGCAGTTTAAATAAGGGAAACGTCGCTCAATCGCGTGGCAAGCAAATAGAGCCCGGTAAACAACTTAATATAGTTGCTTCTCAATCAGATGAACCAGTCGCTGGCCCTTCAAGGACCCAGAATAACATTTCAAACATTAGCGACGATGATAGTGACAATAAACTACTTACAAATTTAGTTGCAGTTTCTACAAAAAAAAGGAATGAGAAAGCAAACAAAAAGGGCTGTTAAAAGTACAAACGACGTCTGCGCAGCTTGCTTCAGAAAGTGGGAGAATTATACAGGGTCTGATTGGATTTGTTGCAAGAAATGCAAACAATGGAATTGTGGCTTTTGCAATGAGGCGAGCACGGACCCATTTTATGAAGGTAGGTACCCTCTGTACAAATGAAGATTTTGACGGTGATGACTCTTTAAAAGATGCGGATTTTTCTTTCTAAAAGTCTTCATGATGTGTTGAATATTTGGTGTTTTACGTTCCTTATTAAAGTTCTTAAGAATTTATGTATATTTTTATTTAAAAATACTTTTTTAGTTAGTTCTTTTATAATGGTTGGATAAATAAATGATTTCTTAAAAAAAAAATGCATTCTAACTTCAATAACTTCGGAAATATGAAAGATATTTGGACCAAACTTAAAGCTGCCTTTTTGTGCCTCCGTTCTTGCCCATAATTGGTGTCAAAGAAGGCTTTATACATTAGCGCAAAAGAGATTTGCATGTGCTGCCAAAGTAGCCTCAAAAATCTGCCTAATTTGGCACCCCACAAACAATTTTTTCTTTCAACATGCGGTTCATGAAAACGGATAATCTATTATCAATTGGACACAAGGCACGGTGCAATTTTAAGAAGTTTGATTTTCCAATCGGTTTCTGACTTAAGAGTTCCAAAATAGGTCAAAACCTGCCAAATTAACCCCGTTTTACGGTACTCCTCTTTTTTGCGTCGTGTCCCACCACAATATTTTCATCTACAGTTCATCAAATTTCTAGAGGTGTTCGACGCCCAGACAGAGAACGCGCTACGTGTGACTAAGATAGCTATTGTACAGTCTGCTAAACAAGTTATTTTAAATAGTTTTTAATATTTTTAGGTAATTAAATTTTAAAAGTGTGGAATAGTTTAGGGATTAAATTGGTCTGATTGGACTTTCTTAGAACGTTTTTAAAAGCAGCTAAAGATAGTATGTAGAATTGAAAATAATTATTATGCCATAAAAGGTGTTTTGGAATTCCTTCAACCTTTTGAAATTGAGTCAGAAAATATAAATTTTATAGGATAGCGGAAAATACCTATAATTTTTTTGTAGGCCTATGCAAATCGTGGAAATAGTTTATATTTTATTTCTACCTCATTAAGGAAAATGGTACCTATTATTAATAACGGTTGTTTCTGAAACATTACTAAAATTTTCGAAATTTTGTTTTTCTACAAAATAATAAACTATACTATTTAGAAAAAAATTTATTTCTCTTATAATTTTATAAAACATAACAGGGGAATATTTACATTTCTTGATCTATTAAACAAAACGATAAATTATCTCGACGAATGACACCATGTTCTAGTCCGGAAGCTAGCTTTACATTTTTGTTGGTGGTTTCATGGGTTTCATATCAATTTTTTGTAATTGTAGTTTACACGTACATATACCTCTTAACACTTGTTTGCTTTATTAAAAAAGTGTGTTGTTGTGATTTACGTCGAAATAAATCAAAAACAACTTGAAACCCCATATAAAATCAAAAAGGAGAAACGGAAAAAAATTGAGCCTGTAAATGAACACAACTCAGAAACAAAAATAGCTATCTAATAATAAAAAAATAAAATTTGATTCTTGTGCAGCTTCATCTATATCATTAAGTGTTTTTGGTTTTTTAATGGTTTTTCTTGGTGATGAAAATTCCGATATCTCACGGTTATCGATTCTTTTTTTCTCTCCAGAAATGCGGACGACAGTGTTTTTAGATACTCCTGTGGCTGCAGCAACACGATCATTTACATTTTTAAATGGTATTGAAGGTGAATTAAAGTTTCCTTCTCTTCTCATAAACTCTATAACATTGGCTATTATTTCGCGAGATTGACTGTTAATCACGCGGCCTCTTAATTTGCTATTAAACTCCATACTTAGGTTCTATTAAACTGTAATGAGCAAAAAACACAAACGAAAATAAAAGAAATGTTTTAGCGAAATTTACATCTGACATTTACGTCTGAATGAAATAGTGAAATACTTGATGCGCAGAGTGTACTTTCATTGCGTAAATCCGTCGGGATGCCTGTCAGTAGTGCTTTCTCTGTCTAGCCGTCGAAAGCCTCTAGAAATTGTGGTTATTAAGCCTATAGTGGCCTTCTACAAAAATAAAACACGGTTATATGTAATTTGAACCGTAAATTGCAAACATATAAAACATACAGGGATAATTTACTGTCCCTAATTGAATTTTATATCAATAAGACATCTTTGGTCGAATCGGTCATAAACAAGTTGATTTAATAAGCACTTGTTTATGACTAATACAACTAAAGAACTCTTATTTATATAAAAAATAAAATAAAAACCAAAATTCGGCCATTTTGTGTATCAGTATCAATTCTGAATTACGTCTAGTAGTTAGGTTTTGTTACCAATTTGATCCAAATCGCTTTATAAATATAAAAAATATTAACGTGAATCTGGTCCCATTGTCATCCGGTATACAGATACACTTAATACACCGTGTCCTATACACATTGAGCTTCTGGTGTTGTCGGAAAGTTGTCGTTACTTTTAACAATAAGCGTGGATGTCCTTCTCTCTGTCATCCATTGGGAAGCCCTGCGGCCCAGTGACCCTAGTCATACTTTGTCTTTGTCATTATTTGGTAATGAAGATCTGACGTACTGTAAAAAATAAATATATCGTTAATTTTTTAAATAATAATATATTTATACGGGACGTTTCGTAAGTTAAGCCTTTTTTTAATACCTATAGAATAGACTGCAAATTTTGTCTAACTACGGCTATGCGATAATTTATTATTGTTAAAGAACTAACAGTGACCTTAATAATTAAAATACCCAGTTAATAATAAAAATTCATACAACCTAAATGGTACAAATCCGAGTTTTTATCAAAAACATAACACATTTCCTCTTTTCACGTATAGCAAAGATGAATTTTTATTCCCCTCTATATAAATAAAAACTCAACTTTCGAAACATCCTGTACAGTCAGAAATTTTTAAAAGTAATCATACAAAATCAAAACTGTCTTCCACCACCTTGTAATAATCCATTAATTATTCGCAATTTATAGCACTATTGATTAGTTATTTATATTTATAATTGTAAGTAAAAAAAAAATACCCATTAGAAACAAAAAACCAGTAGTGTCCAAGCGGGCAACAAAGCAATAAACTGTGACCCTGTATACAACTCACCAAATATAAAAAATATACGTATGGTTTCCATATTCAAGCAAATACATTAGGATAAACCAAGTAAAACTAGAAACTATATGAAAAACTAGTTATAAAAATACTAAGTTCATTATTTAAAGGATTGTGGATAAGAAGAAAAATAATTAGGAATTAGTTATTTTTAACATACACTGAGGTTTACCAAAATGTTTTCTAATATAATTTTCATTTTAACTACACATAAGCTTTGAAGGATAAAGTATAAATAAAATGGCTACTTCTTGAACCTGTACTAAATTCTGCAAATTTACTTTGGATTAAAATCTGAAAACCTATAATGTTTAACTTGCTGTGTACGCAATAAGACATAGGCCACTCTCTCTGCAACTATTCGTGTTGTCCGTGATAAAGTAGTAGATATATTACATCTTTTCTCTTTTTACCCCCAAACGATCTTATGACTAAACTGGAATGAGCCTTCGTGCAAGGTTGAAAGAGAAGTACAAATTATCTATAGAAGAGGACAAAGATAAGACAAATATATGTGATGCAATTAATCATTAATGGACAGACGTGTACTAAATACAGGACCGTCATAACCCGTAAGAGCACACGAAAAGTATTTTAAATAATTTTTTTTTTTTCGTTTTTAATTAATCAACTGCAATTTGTATTTTAAAAGTAATATCCAGTTTCCTGAAAACCTAATACAACACTGATAAATATCCTAATTAATATTCTTTTATCTCACTAAAAAGTGTCGTTGGTTGAATATAGAAACAGCGTATAATACACGCATTCGTCTTACTCTTTAAGGAGTCGTCCATTAAATTCAATCCATGAGCAATTTTAACATCCATTCTACTTCCGAGCATTGTAAATTAGTTGCCTAGTAATTAAAATTAGTTAAAAGTCATGCTAATGGGAGTAAAAACGAGTTTATTGTTAGGAAGAAGCTGTTGAGAATGGAAACGCTTCATTTCAAAGACGGTAGATATAGTCCGAACAAAGAGTAATTACTAAAATGTTATCTTAAACATTGGGGAAATTTAAAAAATTTATTGGAGTTATAATAAGAACTAGAATTGTATTAGAATTGGAATAAAATTAAAATATAATAAAATTTAGTTCACAACGCCACATAGGCGAAGTGCGATACGAAGAAACCACTAGAAATTGTATAGCATATTTTTTCTACCAATCACTGAAGAAAATGTATAATATTTTAATAAGTAATTTAAAGGTTATTAACATAAAATAACCAGCCCATTTTTCCCCAATTCTATAAAATCCAATATGGCCGTTCTACAAGATGTACCTACTTAGAGTTTTTATAACAATATTTGTATACTATTTGAGGACTACTTGAATACTTAAATAAGTTTTAAGCCTTACCATAAGTGTTACGGTGTTACTGTTTTAATTTTTCCCTAAATATGGGGAAAATTGGGCCTAGTGGGGTATAGTGCTGATATTATTACTTAGCCCACTATACACGGCCGATTTTAGTGATGTAGCTAAAAATCGCATATAAAATCCCCTTGTGTAAATAGTAATTTTGAATGCAAACTCGCAATAATTAAGAAATGGTAAAGTTCAATTGTATTTGTGCAATTATAATGACGAATATTGAATTTTCCGCATAAAAAGTTGCATTATTTCCAAGATACATGCAACATTTTTAAACATCAAAATTCTTTAGTCGCCACATGGATAATAATTGTGCTGTCGTGCAAAAATGTCTGCTAATGCTTATCTTCCAAGCAGAATTTATAATTATATTTTAACGAACATTTTTGCATAATTTTTCAAATTTTTGTAAACCAATTACTGTTCTCTTAAAAGGGATTGCTTGATAATGGACTATAACAACATCGGAATTTTTAATTCCTTTTATGTAGAAATAATCAATGGTATTTATTTTTAAGAAACAATTGATTCGTCCGTTTAATTTGGAAAAAAATCGGTATTAAATACTATTATTATAATTCCCGCTCGAAACTAGCTAATTGAATGCCCTAGTTCAGTGTGATTCTAATCAAACTTTTAACAAAAACATCAATAAATTTAACATACACGTTTTTACTGTTTTTATTTTACTTCAAAATATTGTTTACAGGTCATAAAAAATAGTTTAAAGGTATGTAATTGGTAACTAAACGATTGTATATTTGATACATGCTATCTATTTACTTTAGGAATATATTTATAAAAGTGAAAAAAATTATATAATTTAGGTAAACAAAACGAACAAAACGCACTCAAAAAATCTACTGTCACTTTAATTGTCAGTGGAACCATAATTACATCATCACTGAACTAGCGCATAATGCATTATTACAATTTTGTCAAATATTACCCCGGAAGGCGAATATATGGCGTTCTTGGTAGTGCATAGTTAATTTCGGTTTTTTTTTATATACATTTGTCATTCAGCCAGTTTTAGTTTCAGTTCTTAGTTATCATATTTCAGTATATAGAAAAATAAACAAACGTTTAACCTCTAAAATAATAAAAATATTATAGAAAATAAATAGATTAAACCTTAATTTTGTTATTACCCTCGTACAATTGTATTAATCAGTCTCGTGGTTGTACAATGGATTATACGCTATATTGTAACGAAGATTTAATTAAGAAATGTTTTATTTATTAAAAACAATTTATTTATGACTAATTTATGATGTAATAATTAATTTATTTAATACTATTATAACCCACAATTGTAATGTATAAATTACAATTTATCTTAACTCTACAACACTTATATTGAAACTTAACGCTATTTGTATAAAGCCAGCTCTGTTTGAGTACATTCTCGGTGGACTAGAGTCTCGCATTGTAACGGCGAAAGGACCAGGGTCGGCTTTAGGTGGTTGCAAGACAATATGTACTCTTGGAAAAGGCATAAATATACAATTTTAGGTTGCTAAATATTTATGTATCATATTTCTCTACTAAAAAGTCTATTATTCGTTATATAATATACGTTATACTTATAAAAAAATAGGTTTAAATTTGGCACCATTCGCGACTGTTTGGAAAGTAGTTAAATTTTTATTATTATTTAAAAAAAAAAACGATGAATTTTATACATCGAAAAGTGGTAGGCCGTATACTGGTAGAGAAAAAGAGGAAGATTAATTAATGGCTGTACAATCGAACATAAAAGAGTACAATTTTGACTTAGAAAGTTATATAATTTCAAAATCCCTAGCAACAACACCGGTATATTAAAATGCGTGGATCTTGTATTTAATTTCCACCGGTAACGAAATTTTTTCATTATTTGATTGGGTTATTATAATCCCTTTCTTTTTGAAATAAATTATTTTATAATACTTTACTTACCGATACAGCGGTGGCACTACAAGAGTTTGTTCTTGGTCTGAAGGTTGCAGTACTCCACCTTCTCTTGATTTGAGCTTGAACCTGAAAAAAATTCAGTTAAAATGTATGTCTTAAGATATATTCTAATATTAATCGATGCCATACTATCATCCTATATTCATCAATGCTGTAACCTCATAACCTAAATAGACTGATCGTTAGAGAAGAAGATTATAACTGTTTTTTCATAGTCAAGTATGCTCAAGTTTCTTACGTCATTAAAATGATATTCTATTCAGAGAAAAAAGATTATAACTGTTTTTTATAGTCATTATAATAACGTTCTATTAATCGATTTAAAAATATTTGGTTTATATTGAGACTAACTTGACAATGCGCATGACAATGTCAGATATCACGAATTTTTGTTTGTGTATTTAGCCCAATCGGATTAGTATTTTAGATTCTGAAAAATTCGAAGCAGCAATTTTCCTTCGGAATTCGTTGGAGGGGGTCTCTGGTAGTCTAAATTCAAAAAGTTGGGATTCCAAAGTTGTCGTTACCTCCGCCATCTTGATTTAAAGGGTTATTTTTTGTATCTTGAATAACTCATTTATTTTCAATTTTACACGGAAAATAGTTCTTACAAAAGTTATTTAAAATTAAATTTCCTACAATTCTGCTTTTTTTTGTACGATCGATTTTTTTCGATTTATACCCGAAAAGAGGGGGTGAATTTTTGGTTATAGAATAACTCGTTTATTTTCAATTTTACGAGAAAAATTGTTATAAACAAAGTTGTTTAAAATTAAATTTCCTACAATTCTGCTTTTTTTTTGTACGATCGATTTTTTTCGATTTATACCCGAAAAGAGGGGGTGAATTTTTGGTTATAGAATAACTCGTTTATTTTCAATTTTACGAGAAAAATTGTTATAAACAAAGTTGTTTAAAATTAAATTTCCTACAATTCTGCTTTTTTTTGTACGATCGATTTTTTTCGATTTATACCCGAAAAGAGTGGGTGAATTTTTGGTTATAGAATAACTCGTTTATTTTCAATTTTACGAGAAAAATTGTTATAAACAAAGTTGTTTAAAATTAAATTTCCTACAATTCTGTTTTTTTTTGTACGACCGATTTTTTTGTATTTATCCCTGAGAAGAGTGGGGGTGAACCTAAGTATTGTATTGTCACGTTTATTATTGACGTTGTACCATTATTTTTTCTGTTTGTTTTTTTTTGCTGATTTTCAAAAATGTTATTTGGTACACTTATGATTCCGATTTTTTCTAAGAGTTTACCCCCACTCTTCTCAGGGATAAATACAAAAAAATCGAGCGTACTAACAAAAAACAGAATTGTAGGAAATTTAATTTTAAACAACTTTGTTTATAACAATTTTTCTCGTAAAATTGAAAATAAACGAGTTATTCTATAACCAAAAATTCACCCCCTCTTTTCGGGTATAAATCGAAAAAAATCGATCGTACAAAAAAAAGCAGAATTGTAGGAAATTTAATTTTAAATAACTTTTGTAAGAACTATTTTCCGTGTAAAATTGAAAATAAATGAGTTATTCAAGATACAAAAAATAACCCTTTAAATCAAGATGGCGGAGGTAACGACAACTTTGGAATCCCAACTTTTTGAATTTAGACTACCACACACCCCCTCCAACGAATTCCGAAGGAAAATTGCTGCTTCGAATTTTTCAGAATCTCAAGCCTGTTCTTCACCTAATCCGATTGGGCTAATTAGGCATTCCAAACAAAATGGTTGCGTTGCCCGTAGGTAATGACAGGCCACTGACAGGCACATGATAGGTTATGATATGGCAACACTGTGTGCCTGGTGATTTGACAGGTTTAATGATATAGATAGTTGAGGGGTTTTGTCTTTTTATTTTTTGCATAAAGAGCCTAACGTTAAAACATTTTTATTTGCAATTTTGATGTTTTCTCAAATATTCAAAATGTTCATCAGTTTAGGAATAAGATCCTTTATGTATGGTAAGGAAATATATTTTACACAATTACTGGCAACAGACTGAGTATTTGTTGATGTTCCGGAAATTGGTTCATTTTATAATATAGTTGTTACATTATTAAAAATTACTAAATTATTATTGATGTTATCATAATTACCATAGATTGCAACATCAGTGACAATACTACTAGAATTGAATAGGATTTTATCAATTAATTGTTTAGGATAGCCATTTTGTAAGAAAAGTGTTTTCAGGATGTTTAGGTTTTTTTATGAAAATTGGTATCTGATATCTGAAATACTACACTTTTGAGAAGGTATTGATGAGATCTTGTTTACTTTCAACAGCTTTGATCCACACATACAGTTTATTATCGAAAAAGAGGATGGTTCTGGTTCAGTTCCATTCCTTGACACGAGAATCATCAGAGATCCTTCTAGTAACAGGCTAAAAGTTGCTTGGTATAGAAAACCATGTAGTTCAGGTAGATATATTAACTACAAATCACATCACCCATTTCAAATGAAAAATACCTTAGTGAAATCTTTTTAGATGATTCATATATCGGATTCTAAAATTTAAGTAAAATTCTCAGATAGTTATCAACAAATATATCTGCTCTTTGTGCTGATTGACTGATCTTTTCGCATGACCCTAAATTATTAGATAAGACCTGCAAAACATGTTAAATACCTGGGAATAACTTTAAGCGAGAAAGGAAAGTATGGAGAACACCTGAAAAAAATCACCAGGAAAACAGAACAGAGAATTTCAAGCCTGTCTCGCATTATGCCAAATCTAGGAGGCCCGAGTAGCATGAGAAGAAAAATCCTTCACGGCGTGGTCCAATCCACCATATTGTATGGTGCACAGATATGGCATCAGATGCTGCATATAAAATACTATAAGACCTTGCTATCTAGAGTAGAGAGAAAATGCCTATTGCGAACCTGCAGCGCCTACAGAACTGCATCAACAGTCGCCTTAAATGTCGTCGCCGGGATTATTCCCTATACACCTGATGGTTAGGGAAAGATTCCGTCTACACCTTAGGAGGGAAACTAATAACAGAGCCAAAAAGGAAGAAAGGCAACGCATCCTCGAGATGTGGCAGAACGAATGGGAGCAGACAGAAGGGGTCACGCAGTGGACGAAGGCACTAATGCCAGACCAGCAGAAGTGGTTAAACTGCAAGCACCGGTGCACAGACTTCTACCTCACACAGGTACTCACAGGCCATGGAGTGTTCAACAAATACCTGCACAGGTTTAAAAAAAAAGAGACAGAGGACTGCGCATACTGCGGAGCCTCAGACACAGTGCCACACATTTTGTTCGAATGTCCTAGATGGTCGATAGAAAGACAATGGACACATACCCAGCTAGGGGTAATACTGGGAGCAGACAACTTCGTGGAAGAAATGTTGCAAACGAGGGGTAAGTGGCAGATAGTACACAAGTACATAAAAACTACACTGAAGACAAAAGCAGAGGAAGGTAGGCAGTAATTAAATACACAGACCAGAGCTGCCCAGAAGATATGCCATCACGGCGGTACCTGTTCAGCTCTTTCGGAGGAGGTGGTTTTTTTTAGTTGGTTAAAGTCCAATTCGCGCAAAGAGCGTGTCCATGATGGATTTTCCCACCTCCGGAAAAAAAAAATTATTAGATACACAAGAAAAGTCTGGTTTGTCATTGGTTTTTGAACATAGATCTCAGAAACCCTAGATAGAGCATCGTAAATTAAAAAAAAAATCATAAATCATAAAGGAAAAGAGACATCAACATGAAATGTATTTATTGATTCTAAAATAAATATAAAATAAAAATCTGAATAAAAATGGGGACAATAGGGAGTTGAAATATTGAAAACAATCCTAACTCAAAAACAAAAAACGATATCAAATTAAAATCTTTGAAATGAAGCAATTTATTATAAAAAAAAATTCTGAGTAAAAATGATGGGTTAGGGGGTTGAGATATTCAAAAAATCCGAACTCAAAATCAAAAAATAATAGCTTGAAATTTGTAACAAAAATCAAGCTCTATAAGGGGTTAAAGGCTATTAATTTAAAAAAAAAATGAGAACAAAATGGGGGGGGGGGGAGTTAAGGAGGATTGAAATAAAAAAAAATTGAAATCAAACACCAGAAGCGATATTACCATGAAAGTTTTTCGTAAAAATTAAAGTTTATGAGGGGATAAGGCCTATTGATTCTAAAAATAAAAATTAACAGAAATGAGGGGTTGAGGGGGGTCTGTTAAACTGTGAAGAGTATAATATTTTAATAAAAATTAAAGTAATTTTACAAAAGCAACTTCAAAATCGTGCAGATGCCATCACCACATCTCGACCAAATTTATATTGGACCACCCCTGAGGTACCCCCTTACTAACAAAAACGAACCATAGAAATCGAAGGTGGTAAAGAATAACCGCTAAACATACATAAAAAATAAAGATTTTGAGTATTTTCTAATGGACCCAATTATTATATTTTGACCAAATTTATATGGTACCACCCTCTAAAGTAACCGCTTTCTAATAAAAAAACAATCTTTGAAATCGGACACCGTGATAAAGAATTATCGCTGAACATACAAAAATATTCCGATGAATTGAGAACTCCCTGCTTTTTTGAAGTATGTTAATAAACTGCCAAGCATTCTTCATTTTTTTTTTTTAATTTAAACATTCTCAAACATCAAGTGTCAGTCGTTTTTCAGAAATTCCATCAACGAAAATTCGCCATTTGTTGTTCACGTGATCTATCATTTTGAATATTAGAAATTCCTTTTTGTAACACATAAATAATAATCAGTAATAAATATGCATGAACGCTTTAAACTTGTCTTTATGTCTTTTATAAATCGATATTCTGCATGTGGAAGTGTAGTCAGTATATACTGCTTGACGGTAGGTTTCCTTTATTGTTATGATATCTATTCTGATTATTTTCACAGGGTTACTATTTTCCTTTCTATTTAATTACTAGCAGATATACATGGTTTCTCAAATAATTCCTTCTACTATAGATATATTATGTACTGGGTGATAATAAATAATTGTAATTTTTTTTAAAGGAATTATTTTTTAAATGAATTTCTAAAAAGGCTTCCTTGAATCAAACATTTTTTTTGACGTAAACATTTTAATAAATACAGAAAATTATGTTTTATTTGATAATTTAATTTATATTATAATAAAATGCATTACTTTGACTGCCTAACCTAACTTTTAACATAATTTTCTTTCACAAAACATAAAACAAAATTATTAATGGAATGTTTAAACAAGATTCAGTCAGTGTCTAGATAATAAAACCCACCCAGTGAGAATCTATAATGAGATGTTAACGGCCCTTAGCAACACTATATTATTTTCCTAATAATTATTTCTTTGATTCAAAAAAATATATAGAATTTGAAATAAATAATTGGGATATTGAATTTGAAACAAATTGGAATTTATATTCAAATAACTTGAATATCTTTTAGCAATAATGGTTATCTTAGATTAAACATAATTAATTTAGCATAAACAAACTTCAATTAATACATTTGTTTTATTTAAGAAAACCTATTTAGTTTTATTATAAGCATTATAACTGTAATTATAGAAAATTCAAATGGAAACTTACCTCGCCGTTGCAGAAGCAAAAGAGAATAGCCACGCAAAGACCCTGAAATAGAAAATCCCTGGTAAATAGGTAATTATAATTTTAATTACTACAATGGTTAGTATAAGACCCACAAGACACAAAAGACAAAAGGTTGTTCAATCTGGAAAATGAATATTTTCCTTTTATTGCTTTCAGCGGCGTTTTGCTTTATTTTTCTTCTTATATTCGCTAAAACTAGCTAAATAAGTATATCGAAGTCTTAGTAAACAAATATAAAAGCATCACTGGAATAATTAAGTTTTATTAAAAATGGAATACATTTGATAATATTTAAAATAGTAGGCTGTAAAGTGTGGTTTTAATATGTTTAAAAAATAATTAAATGCCAAAAATGCAGAAAAATTAAACTGTCAACTTTAAAACAATGACATTGATGTACGATCTAATAAAAAAATATGCATAGTATTAAAACCATAAGTATTAGAAATTAAAAATTTAAAAAAACCGACTTCAAAAACGTGCAGATGCTATCACCACATCTTATCCAAATTTATATGGGGCCACCCCTGAGGTATCCCTTTACTAACAAAAAAGAATCATTGAAGCCAGACACAGGAATATTTAGAAATTGTCTAAATATGCAAGGGAATATCTGCACATAACCTATAAAGATAAAAATCGTCTAGAAATTCATTCATAAAACTTAGGAAAAAAACCCTGAATGTATTATTTATTCAAGTGCTTATTCACTTTACTTTTTATAAGGAAATCGTTATCTTTAAGTCCTTAGAAAATATATTAACGTGACAATTTTTCTTATAGCTAGTTTACGACCAACTATGGTCATATGTCGCATTCATGTAGAGCCATAAATATTTTTACGACACACATTCGAATTACATGGATCAGAATTGGTACAATATTCGCGTGTACAAAGTTGTGTGCACGTGCACGAGTTATTTGTATATACATATCCGAATGATAAATAGGTGTCTCCCACGGGACTAATTGAAAAGGACAAAATAGTTCTACGTTCTGATGAAAAATTTAAAAAACGAAATATTTATGTCTTTATTACATAGGCGTATGCCGCATTGAACATAATTTAAAATTATGTCTGAGTAAGACAGGTTTGTATTCAAATGAGAAAGGTAATGTTAGCTCTGGATTTAAGGTAAATTTAAATACCGCTATAAGTTTACGTGGGGGGGAGGGGGGCGCCAGCACATCAAAATGAAAAAAAAATTATAATTGCTAATAAACAAATTTAATTCATAGAAAGAAAAGCAAAATGATATTTAAGAAATGAATCGAGAGTATTTAAAGTGTGTAATACTAAACAATGAATACAAAACTTGAACACTTACTCGTCAAAAACTATAGAAGAGACATGAAAAATGCACTAAGTTAAAAAGAACAGCAACAGACCTGTCCCAAGTCACCACCATAGCTTGTAGCTAGGATAATTGAAAATAAAATAACCACACCGAACATGTGGTTGAATTTTAACAAATGAAGTGGGGGTTCATCCAAAAAAGTAAAACTGAACACTCCAAACCATTCAAAGGAAAAGGTACTGCTGGTCTTCAACATGAAGACAGCCAGATTTTTCCATTTAGAGAGTAGTAGAAGATTGTGAGTGCAGATTTTGCGAGGAGGAGGACGAAACCTCCATTCACATCCTAACTGAATGTGTAGCACTCCAGAATCCTAGGGCACTATACCTAGGAGAATATCAAATAGAAGAGAGAGATTTACCTAACTTGAAGCCACTCCAAATTCTACACTTCCTCGAGAAGATAGGATTGGAAGGGTCGTTATAGGCATTTAGACATTTCCTTGGAGCATTAGCGACAGAAGGGGGCACAATAGATCTTTAAGGTCGCAGTGAATTAACACCCTATTCCCAACATAACATAACATTACCATAACATTGTGCACTTGTTGATGCTTTAGTATTGTCTAATACTCGCTTATGTATAGTAAAAATCTATCCAAAATTCTGTATAAATTTACTGCCGTAAAATTTTCGAAAATATTTTATACGAAAATACGGTACAGTTAAACAAAACTTACAAAGTTTGTCACCGCGACTCGACTTAAACTGACCGGAACATCTGACAGGCGCAGCATTTATACACGCTTGCTCCGCTGCCGAGCAGATTTTCCATACTATTCCAAACAAATCAAAACCATGGTCAAAACTTCTCGTAGCGACGGTAATCCGCGATAATGTTCGATATCCGTCGTAAATGACAGAGAGCAGATAAAAAACATCGATTCTGATTTTAAGGTTTACCTGTATGAGATATAGCGGAACGGCATTGCCAAGTTTCAATAAATTCAACTATTCTTGGTAATTTTGAAAATTTGTAATTAAGTTATATATTAGGATTGGCCTAGAGTCTAGGGCACTAACAACAGGCTAAAGGGATTAGGGTCAAAATTTTCAATATCCCTTTTTTATATAAAAAATTAAAATAAGAGATTGAAATAGAAAATAATGTTTGACTGAAAGCCATCTCAATGATTTGAGCGTTTTCTGAATGGGGGTGTATTTACTGCAAGATAGAATGATTCGCATAGCCTTATTTTGCAGTTTTTAGATTCTACTTAATTCATTTTGATTTGACAAGTATAATATTGATAAGCAATAAGTCAAATGTGGAAGCATCAATGTGTTGTACAAAATTGTTTGTGATCGAGGAAGCTTGAAGTTCTATATAAATAAATAATTTTAAAAGAAAAAGTTTTAATTATATAGTTGGCATGATGTTTCAAATTTAATGTGTGATTAACAATTATATCTAAATATATTATTTTCTTTACTAATTCAATTTCTTGGTTTCCTAAACATATTTTCAAATTATTATTGTAAACTTCATTATTGATGAATTAATTTTAAGGTAATTGGCACAATACCACTCATTTACACAATTTAAAACACCATTAATAACAACAACAACCAAATGCTGAAGATCATTGGAAGAAAAATAAATCAGTGCATCATTGACAATTTGTTCATTATCATCCATATAAAGCAAAAAGAATAAAGGGCCCAACACGCTTCCCTGAGGTACACCAAAACAATTTTCATTTGAGATCATGGTATTTATTTTTAGTTTTTGTTTACGTTTGTCATTGCAATACTTCTTCTATAATTCCAAAACTTTTTAATTTCTTAATGAGTAAATCTCTATTAACAGTTTCAAATGCTCTCTGTAGATCTAAGAAAGATGACTGAATAGCAGATTTACAGCTCTTGATTGAACACTGTTAATCAAATAGATTCCTTCTATAAAATCAATCAGTTGATTATACACTACTTTCTCTAAGATTTTTTCAATTGAAGATAACAAGTTTACTGATCTTAAATTAGACGCTTTCTTAAAGTTTTTAGAATTGGTACTATTGTTAAAATTTTTAAATCATCTAAAAATACATTAGTTTCTGTTAAAAAATTTATTAAGTTGATTAGAGGTATTACTGTAACATTTTTTAAAAATCTTATATTTATATCATCTGAACTTCCCTTTGAGGCATTGAGATACCAATTTTTTCAGCTCATCTCGATAAATTATTTTTATTTTGAGGCATTACCAGTTGATTTGAAGTATGATTTATACCATTAATAATGTCACTTATACTATTTTAAGCATTCCTATAAATATTTTTAACTATTTTTTTCATGTATTTCTATTTCTGCAAAGTTATTACTGTTATTTGGCACAAGTTCTTTTAATACCTATCAAACGAGTAATTCTGTTGTGTTATTTTTATGTTCTACAATTTTAATTTAGTAATAGCTCCTTTTTTTTCTCATAGTTTCAACAGCTAAGTTGCGATTTTGTTTATATCTTTTCCAATTTTTTTTATTTTTATTAGATCTAAGAACCTTATAACTTTTATTTCTGTCTTTTGTGGCAGCTTGTATACATTGATTCCACCTCATTTTGTATTTAGGTAATAACTTGATTGTGTTCTTAGGTGCAATCTTATTTAAAACATTTATAATTTCTGAGTAAAAATATTTGTATTGCTCATTGACATCGTATAAAAAATTCATTGCTTTTAAATTTGGTACTAATAGCTTGAAAATCTATACTTCTTCACCTACTTTCTATTATCTTAGGAGCTTCTGTGTTTTTATCATATAATTTAAACGAAAACTTTTATAAGGCCAATCAGATGTATTAAAATTTTCATTTTAACTACAAATAAGCATTGAAGAATGAGGTTTAAATTAAATTTGTACCTCTTGAACCTGTACTACGTTCTGCAAGTTAAATAACTGGACTTCTTTCCTCTCTGAATTATAGACTATTTATGTCACTTTGGAAAATAAAATACTTTAAAGAAAAAGAATGTCATTTTGATTTAAAAATTGAACATTTATAGTCCATGAAATAAACTGACATTGATAATTTTTAGTAGTTATTAAGTAATATAAATTTATTTTAATTTAAATTAATTTATCTCATCTCCACACTTTATAAACTCACTGTATATCATAAAAGGTTAGCATTTAATAATTCTTTTATTGTTTTTAACTTATTTACGAGAACTTCCATTCTGCTTTGTTTATCATCATATCGTGAACGAACAGTCTGATTTCATTCCAATCCAATAGGGAATATCCTCGTGTTGTCCCTTTGAGTTTTCACATGCAACGTTGTATCCCTTCAGTGGCTTAGAACAATATCTTGCATATCCTACTGTCAGAAGTGTATTATACAATATTCCGGGTATCTAAGAACGTTAGACATTAGACTACTAGACAGAAGATAATTATTATAGAACATGATACTGTTGAGTTAGGTACAAATTCTTGAAAACGGAACAAACTTTGTTTGAATTATATTATTAACGATGGTATGTGCATAACATTATATCATCAGCAAATTAAGATATATTTGGTTGTTGGCTATTCTCTTGATTTTCTAGTTTATGAATTTAATAATGTCGTAATTACTCACCTGAAAAGATGTAGTCACAGCTGATAATAAATCATAAAAGTATAACCAAGGCTCGTTATTTTCAGGCCTAAAAGGCGTCAACAAAAAGTTTAGTCCCAGCAAAGGGACCAATAGCATCGTCGCTCTGAAATAAAAAAAAAATTACAATAAAAAAAGCATATTGGGTATAATCCTCATTTGGTAAAAACATTCTGTAGATACTCTATTGTATTATTAATTAAACACCCTGTATATATATGATATGCAGATTTGTATTAGTGGTTACTAGAGTTCTTTTATTGGTTAATATAAATTTCTATCGGTGTAATATATAATATAGAACCAAAGACTTTTATTATCAAAACCTCCATCATCATACATATTACTTCTTTTACTTCATTGTTTTGAATACGAGACTAAAAATGCTTTTTCAATACGTTTCAATTTATTGTGAAAATTCTATGGTGTATCTTCCGAGAGAGAAAGAAAGAGAGAGAAAGATAGATTTCAATATTTCCTAATGGAATACTCTATTCAGGCACGTATGCTCAAATAATTAGAAAAATAAGTTTTGCAGATTTTTAATTTTCCACTAATTAAAACCGAATATTTTCGGAAGAAGAAAAAATTATTTAGTAGGCTAGTATTTTGATGAACGATTACATACTCAGTAATTGAAAAGAGAGAGCTGGAGTATAGAAAAGACTAAATTAGACTTAAGTAGATATATATGTAGATAGATTTGAAAGGAGTTGCAAATTTTCTAATCCACAGCGACCTAGCAACTCCACAGAAAGGTTTGGAGCCTATCATGGCCTTATCAAAGCCTTCTTGGGCTAATTCGTCGGCCTTTTTATTGCCCTAATATCCTTCTTGGCCTGGTATCTAGGCGAAAGTCACTTAGTTTTGTCCTAACTTTGTCAGATTTCCTAGGCAATCTTTTTCACCAATCGTTATTTAATTTCTGGTGAGAGAATCGCCTTTAGACCTGCATGAGTATCAGAGTAAATGGCAATAGTTTTGCTGTTTTATCATTTATCTTGCACAGTGTTGTTTGGCTATTGAATTGGACCTGGAATTGTATTCTGTAAGCAAACGATTTTACCTTTTTTGAGATCATAAACTAATTCTTACCTTAATGCTTGTATTGAAGAGCTAGAAGCACCACTACCTTGACCTTCGGCAGGACCTTTTCTTAATTTTACCACAACGACTCTAACTATGTTTATGAGGAAGAAGAGATTCAGGATAATTGTCGCGGCTACAGGGATTTGGTTGATGATTTCGAATCTGCTTTCTTTTATCCAGCACCTAGAACAAAATACCTAATTTAAAAAAAAATAGCTAAAGACTTAAAGAGGATATCCCATTAGTCATGCATCTAACAAAGTGATGTAACATATTTCTTCGATTTGTTTCCACCGTTGGTTGCTTAAATAAATTAAAAATTTACATAACTAGATTTATTGAAATAAAATAAATAAAAACGCCAAAAACTGTTTAGGTTCACTCAATATTTTCATATATTAATCATAGGTATTTCAATATAGTTTTTGAACCTAAATCTTCTTTTCTTCTTCTTAAATTTAGAATGTTATACAAGGTGTAGTAAGGATTTATCCACAGGGTAGGATTCTCTCTGTAGGAGAAATAAAGAAATTTAATGGTGATGCACAGAACTGGATAGGATTTTGGGATAAATTTAAGAAAATAGATGTGTATGGTGGAGAGGATGGTCCGTATGGTAAAATAATTATTATGACGAAATTTAGGTAAATCTAGTTTATACCTATATGAATGAATTAACAACTATTATTAATGAGTGTGAAGCAATCATAACTTCCAGACTACTGTCCTATATTCCAAGCGATGCAGAACTTATCCCTTTAATACTATTACACTTTATTCAAGACATTTCTAACAGTGACGTACCTGACCTAGACCACATCTGTAAAACATTAATTATCAAGAGGCATATATATTTATAAACTATCAGACATAATTTACGTGGTGGATATAGGAAAGAATACCTAGCAAATTTAGGAAAATCTCAGAGATGAAAGCAGGCAGTGTCGTACTTATCGGATCTGACAATGTGAAACGAATAAATTGGCCCTTAGGTAGAGTAGTTGAAATATATTTACGCAAAGACGGCATTACAAGAGTAGCTAAACTAAAATGTGAAGGGAGATATCTTATTCGACCCTTGCAGCGACTCTATCTATTGGAAATTGAGGAAAAATCGGAATTTAAGAAATATTTAAAATAAATAAAGACAAAAGCAAAAAACAATCAAACATCTAGTGAAGAGATTAAGACCGATGAAGAAGGTACAAGAAATGGAAATAAATCTCAAGAGAGCCATAAGACGTTTTCGAGATATGGGCGAACTAATAAAGCTCCTGGAAAATTGCAGTATACTTAATGATTTTATTAAGTTTGCAATAAGTTTATTGCAAAGGTGGAAAATTGTTGAAAATAGAAAATCATACTATATATTAAAAAATAAAAAAGTTGTCATAATTTTTGTTGAAAACTGATATGTTAATTTTGAAAGATTGTAAAAAAAGTTTGATAAAAAACTGAAAACATTCGTTTTCTTTGAACCAGAGTCTTCTCCATTTACAATAGTAAGTATGGCAAGTTGTTTTCCTTTATGGCATACAGCTATGGGTATGTTCCAGCAAGAGTAATATCAACATGATACAAGTTCTATGGAAACAATTATCTTCATAAAGACTTGAAGAAGAAAAAAAGAGGTTTGCTACAAAAGATGAAGATCGACTCCACTCCCACGTAAACGAAGAAGCGCTGCAATTACTGGATAACTCTACACTCAACAGAAGGATCAAAAAGAAGAAGAAATTTGAGCTAGTGAAAACAGTTTACTAAATCGTCACGTCAAATTGTGATGGTTTCCTGTAGATATAATTAAGACAGCCCAATGGAGTCTTCTTAAATAAGCAATAATATAAAATTTTATTACTGTAAATATTAAATTTTATACATTGTTCATAGTTTTCCGCACATTTTTGTATAAAATTCACTATTTTTACCCGATTTTATACTAGTAATTTTAAGTAATTTTAAGCATTATACATTTTATAGGTTGCCGGTCAACGTAAACGACATCTTCGTACATTAAGATAGTTATCAATATGATTTTCATTTGATTTTTCAATCAATATTTAAGTCTCCTGCAAAAATATGTATTATAATCATCCTCTTATTGTTTACTTGTCATAACTCTAATAATTTAGCAGCGTTGTTTAAAATTCCCCTGTATAAAATATCTTAAAATATAGAAAAATATAGTATCTATCGATTTTTTCTTTTCATAACCAACCCATCACCTAAAAAGCATTGATCGAGTTCTCCAAAGTAGAATGTTATTTAATGGCCAGCTTCCTTAAAATTATATCATAAATTTATTGGATCCATCAATATATTTATTAATATCTTTAGACGTTTCAATTTTGCTCCTAACTTCCAATATTTACTCTTCGCACTGATTGACTTTTATGTCTTTTAGTGCTTTTACCTCTGATTATATTAGACCAATAAAATCCGGTATCCATCAATACCACTGGGCCAAAGCGAAATTAGTTTCGCATCGTGGTATGAATGTAAATGAAAGTATTTTTCGTTTTGCCACTCTGAACAGATATAGCAATAAAAAATAATTTGATCTGATGGCCTTTGGATCTTTTGAATTAGGCAAATCGAGACCCGAAAGGTTTGTACGATTTCATATTAGATTTTGTGGGTCATACATTTATAATGCGATGTAGATTTAATATTACGCTCACGTAGATATTGCTTTTTAGCTCAATTTAGGAAAAAAAGTCAAAGATATTTTATTGATCTTGGATAATCGAGTTTAGAATCGCCAAAGTCAGAAAAAATATTTAATATTTAATAGTCTCACCAATTTCAACATTGCCCAAAAATGTTTACGGACGTAAAAAATAATATTTTTTAAATAATTCCTTCAACTAGTCAAATAGAAATTAATAGCTGAAATTGAGCAGAGATGTTCAACTTTTTATTAGTGAGGGCTGGGAGTATAGGTTTTGAAAACACTTTATTTTTAATACGATTTCCATGGTCTTATTTTACTATAATTAAAATACGGATAAGCAAATCTTTTTTCTCTGAATTTAGCCTTAGATTGCTAACGTTGAATATTTATACTTTAATGTAAACAATACGTAAATTTTACCTATATATTACAAATATGTGCAAAAATTGTTTTAAACCTTTTAAGTTTTTTAGGGAAAAATAATTACTATTTATTTAACTTTTAAAACTATTTTTATTAAAAAAGCAAAAAGAAATCTAATTAAAATAAACGAAATAACAAAAAGCTACACATAAAAAGATTAGTTAAACTTAGATTCAGCGCATTCTTGGTATTCTGCATCAAAGGGGTCTTGGACATTTTTGTAATACGTTGTCAACATTCTTTTTTTAATGGAAGGACACACGCTGCAATACGTTCGCTTTCACTTTTTCTCTAACCTAGTAGTTTCTACTTGAAACCATTTACCCAGCGTACTTAAGATAGTTGTTTTTAATTTTTTAGGTAATATAGGAATCTGCAGTCTTTTTCAAGCCACAGTTTTTATAGTTGCTCGTGTAGCTTTATCATGTAATTTAACCTGGTTTCTGATTTTTTCCAGCAAATGTCATATTATGATTGTAAATTTATAGAAAATACAAAGATACCAGCGTTTTGTCTTTCTATTATAACTTATATTGGATGTCACTTAATCAAAAGAAGTGTCCACTGCTCCTTTTGTGGAATTGTATGCATGAATTATTTATGGTTTTGACGTAGCAGCGTACAATACATTTGTGTTGTGCATTGATGATATTAACAGGATGTTTTTGTTTACCTTTGGTTTATAGGAAACCAAAGTAGTGTTTTCAGTAAAAACGGCTACCGATGATCCGTTAGGTCTCGGATTTATATTTAGCAGTTCTTGAGGTATCTGTGTCTTATTACTTTCTAACCATTTCGAAAATTGTTGGTTTATATGGAGATTGAAGAAGTTTGTTGGTCAATGGAATATTGGTAAACCAGTTATCAGTTGTAATATTTTACTGCATCCACCAGAAGCATGCGTCTGCCTTATACTCTTGAGCACAAGAAAAGACATCGGCCAATGTTTTGTGACGGGTTAGACGAAGTGTTTTCTGCATTTCGTGGTCACGGAATCCATCAATAAATATTTGGACTGCCAAATATTCCATCATGTTTTCATATTCTTGAAAAGTGTCTCGTCTCGTTTCTATTTGCGATTCTTTAACTGTGCTCGTGGCAAAGTCATCTGTCTGTTCAACGTGTATAGTCTAAAGAACATCTAAAGGGTCTCCTCGAAAAGTGATGGTCAAATTTACTGCCTCGTTCAGTCAATTTGTTTTCTGTTGCAGCTGTTTTGAACTATTTAACACGTTCATTGCCGACTACATCTATAAATGGAGTGACCGACTACACCTGTAGATGTATAGAACTATGGGTAGAGACTATTTAAGTTTATATTGCCGGCATGGGTTAGAAGGGTTTGAAAACATGTCGGCATGCTAAATGAACTTTGTTTTACGCTAGTGAATTGATGGTTGCCAGCAAAAGTATTTCAACTAACGTCAAGAGTGGGGGTTTGTTTACATTATGAAATGTCAGGTCTGTAGCGGAAGCCTTGGTGCCAGAAATTTTGATTCAAGCAAAAGTTACCCTAGATGATTAAAAACTTGAAAAAATATAATATACGAACGAAAAATAGAATATAGTAAATCGAGTTTGAAAAGTTCCCAAAATTTAGTACTTTTTTTAATAAAAATGTATTCAAAATTCGTTGTTTGAATAGTTATAAACCATTAAAAAAAAACCGCCTGGAATCGACATTTTGGCTTTAATGAACGTTTCAAGGTAGTTTGTCTTGGACATTTTCCTGCCAAAAGTTGGGGCTTTAACGCGAGTAGAGTTTACAGCTCCTTCCAAATTTATTTTACCTCCACCTCATGGCACTTTATTTCACCGTCCTTGGCCTGTTCTGTATGTTCCACTTCTTCTATTTTTTATAGAAGAAACAGCAGACATATCAGAACTCACCCTCTCTTTTAAGAAATAAATATCAGACGAAACTTTATTTTCTAAAGAAGAAATGTCAGAAGAAACTTTTGTTTCTAATGAGGATATATAATTTTTTAAAGAAGAAATGTTAGAAGAAATATCGGGTTTCTTAGAGGTCGTATCAGAAGATTTATTCTGTTTTGTGGAATAGATCTTACTGTCCATATGGGAAGAA